CATTGCTCCCAATTAAAGTTCCCTAGCTATCCTAGACACAAAATGAAACCCGTAGTGTTTTATAGTGAAAAGGCTACATAAAAATGAATAGTACTTAACACATCCTTGTTTTCTTTTCTCCTGTCCCACAAGTGGAACTCCAGACTGCTGTTTGTTGCCTTCTACATCTGCTTTCATTCCCTTCTCCAGAGGTCCTTGGACTCTTTTTTTTTTTATAAATATGAAAAGAAACATATACATTATTTGATCTCTCACAGACCACTAAAACATGTGATGAGCTCACAGCAGAGAAGCTGCTATTTTTCTCCATTAGGTGCAGTCAGCAGCTTATGCCACAGATGTGGCATCATAGTTCTTGTTAGCGTGTGTTAATTCCTCAGTATTTACTTTTGGCTTTGCAAAATTCCATTCTTTACAGTATTTGTGTAGCTTCTTAAGGGATACCAAACATAGTGGCTAAAAATGTTTGCAAATGCCCTGATTACAGCATATGCTAAGCACGTTTCCAAGTGGGCACTGCGCCCTGATGCCGCAGTCGTGCCCAGCCGTGCCAGCCCTACTGTCACCATACATCCTTGTTATGGCTGAGTGCTACTGGATGTACAGAAGAAAGCAACTTAGCCAACAAGAAGCCCAGAAAGACTGCTGGTATGATTTTCTGGAGGGTCTTTCATTGTATACAGCCAGAATAGTGTACTGCTTTATCTAGGGCTTCCTCAGTCTCAAACCCCAGCTCCAGGAAAGCTCACTTGTCTGAGAGATTTTGTTCACATTGTCTTTGTAGTTCACACTGAAACTCTGCCAGCTTCCCAACAAGAAAAAATCTCAGTTTCATGGAGGAGTTGAGAAGATTTCTCTAAGGAGTAGCCGTGGCTATTGCAGATAAGTGAACAAGTCCATGGAGCTGGTCAGCCCTGGGAGGGGCAGTGATAGACACTTCCTAAAAGTTTTGAGGCTAAGATACTAAGCAAAGAATTGTGCCTCGGCTGAAGCAAGACTTTCCTCTGTATTTATTGTTGATTTTGTAGTATATGGAGAAAGAATTAAAACCTAATTGTGTTATTTTAAGCTGGTTGAGGTCAGGCAGGTAGGTGCTATTCTGTGTCTTTGTGCTGTCCGAACATGTAAGACTTTGGAGCAGCTGTTGGAACAAAATGGGAGCTTCATCTGGGAAGAGCTGTTCTATTAAATTAGCAGCCATAAACGACACAACAGAGTGAGTGGAAGAGTTTTATTTTTTGCTGCCTTTCTCGCCTTTCTCCCCACCCCTGTGCTGCCTTTTGTCATACCCCAGAAGCCCGTCAGTTGCAAAACTACTTCTGGATCTTAACTTGCTTGAGGAACATCAAATGAGTGCACATTTTAATCAGATCAGCAATGATGAGGATTAGAACTAAGACATCAGAGTGCCATCTGACCAGTTATATCCCCCTGTATATCTTCTGTCATTGCTTGAGTTCTGTGCCTGGACTTACAATTTAGGCTCCCTTTAGAGGGAAGAAGTGCAGCTAATGAGTGTTTTTCTGTACTAATGAAATGAAATATTAAAATGGATGTGATCAAATGTCATTTGAGTTGCCTGAAGCTTTGCCATGAGATACTTTTGTGAAAGAGTAGCTGTATTTATCACCTTTAGATTTGCATGTACAGAGCTTTGAGTGTTGTTTGGCTACTGTGTTTGTTTTTGGTTTTTTGCAGTTAACATTTTTTAATGTTCCTTATGGAGGTAGCAGCAGTGGGGATTTTATACCACCTGTCCCTGTAATCTTAAAATATTACATGAAGAATTAAATTGAATCAAAATATGTAGAACTAAAATAGTGTAGAACAAAACAATTTATCTAAATTTCTCATAAAATAAAAAAAAAATCCACCATGGCAATTTGGCAAGGGAGGACAAAAAGGAATGGAAAAAAGAATCAAACCAGTGTTTTTGAATGATTCTTTTCCATCTGTTATCTGTGTAGCTGACTGGCAAGTTCTCACACCTTCATAAGTGGTCTGTGCAACACCCTGTTGGTAGAGTTTTCAGTTGTAATTTTCTTTGCAAGGACAATGGATGTGTTAAGAGCAGATAAGGAGCCATAGGTCCCCAGTTTTTAAGCAATAGAAGTATTCTACTGTTAGCCTGAAAAAAACAGTTTTTGCGAGAAATTTAATTTTATGAAGAAAGATGGGAGAATAATTTAGTTGTATTCCTCCAATGAATAACTTTAATTATAGTGTACAGCCCTGCATACCCTCCTTTGTGAAGAACTACACATTTTTTAAAAATCCTATATAAAAGTGCTGTTTTCATACTGTTAAAAAATTCGGTTCTGGAATATTCTGCCCCTTATATCTCTAGGATTTATAAGTTAAAGGGGTGGCTATTAAATGTGGCCACAACCCTCTTAGTGGGCAAAAAGCTAATGGAATGGTAGCATGACATGAATGCCTGAACCTGCTGCCTGTGTTATGCTGTGCGGGAGAATAATTGGCTTTCAGTCATGTAAACTAGTCACAGACACTCAGATCCTTTGAACTCTAATAAGAAATGAAATGCACACTTACTTTAAATGGTGAGTGACTAAGCATATAAATGTCTTGATCAAGTCATCAGCAAAAAAAAACCCAAACCAACAAAACAAAACAAAAAAAAAACACCAAAAAACCCAAAAACCCAAAACTGAAAAGGAGTTTTCTGTTTACATTTTGTTATTTCTGTCTGAAATCTTTATTTTACACTCTGCATCTTTGCCGTGTAATGTTCCCTGCTGAGAAGGACAGACTGGAAACACAGTAGGGATCTTTGCCTTTTAAGTTGCTCTTTGCTTTGCAGAGGACTACATGTTGGAAGTTCCGGTGTATTTGTCCAGTGTTTTGTTTGGTGTAAGAAGAACATGACAATTTAAGAAAGGCAGGAAACTATTATTTGATAATTTTAGCTACATTTCTATTGCAAGTACTAAAAAAGCAGACAGAAGTTTAAATGCATGTCTTAAGGTACATGTACACAAATCCATTCAGCTTTTGTGCACTTTGGTCAGAAAATTCTGAAACAACCTTGGATGAGGGTATAAAAGGATAATTTTGAGTTGAATTTGCCACAGCTATGAATTCAAAGGTCATGTTTATCTAAAGTGCTTCTCCAAATTCTTTTTGTTGTCTTTTCTAAAGAGCATATATAACAGCTCCTGTGCCACAATCAAGCTACAGCACATTTTACAAGCAGGACTAGATTTTGTTCTAATGCAAACTTGTGCCCCCTTGTCAAAATCAAAGGCTACAAGCTTTGCATGCCAATTGGCTCTGCCAAATAATTTAGCTTCCATCCTCTGGTGGTTTTTTTTTTTTTTAGCGCAACAAACTCTAAATGTTATGGGTATTTTAAGCATATTTTTCTTAAAAAACTTAGTATATTGATAGAGTAATAGACAGCCTGAATTTCCTACCGTTGATTTACATAATTCATCAGCTTTTATCTATTGTTGTCTTAAGCATTGCTGCATTTATTATTTTTCTCTGTTGCGTAAAATTAATCAGACTAATATGAGTCATGCTGCTTTAGCAACACTATGGGTCCAGTCTAAAGGCTATTAAAGTCAAAGGTACTCCTCATTGACTTAGTGAGCTTTGGATAAAGTTCATTGTTTTCATGCTCTTTCCATCACTGCAGTACCAGACAACTGAAATAACTGTTCCAAATATCAGTGTCTTTTGATACTTTGCATTTCTGTTCTGAGAAAATATCCAAGCAAATATGAATGTAACCAAAGTAAATTCTCTCTCTCTGAATACAGAATGACTATTTAACTAGCTTTAATATTTTGATACCCAGTACAAAGTTTCACCCGCTGTCCCTTTCCTTTGCATACAGGTGATGGCTTAAGAAGGTTAGACTATCTGTTAGGGTTGGAAGAAAAAAAAAAGAGTTAAATAGTCTGGTTGACAATACTTCTGCTTTATTAGAAGGTTCTGGAGGACTTTTGTCTTTTGCTTTGCATGTTGACGGTGTTTGTGAGTTTGCCTGTAACCTTGGTGTTGAAACTGAGTCTTATTCTGTTTTCAGTTTTAGTGTTGTCTGATCCCCACTTCCCTCTTCCTCATTCCCTCTAATTCTCGTAGTTTATACATTCTTAAGCTGTCTGTCTAGGTTGCAGTGCTCTGCTTGCAAGTCTAATGGTTGATGTGTTTCATGTGTGTTTCTGCCTTGGGGACTGGCAGTAGCTGCAAGAAGTATTTGTAAACATCAGCATTGTAACACAACATTTTAATTTCATGGATTCACAGTGAGCAAACCAAAGTAAAAGTTATCTTGGTTTTCCTATTGTCTTTTTTTTTTCCCCTATCTTTTATCTGTCTACCTTTTGTCTTTTCCTTGAAAGTTTTAATAAGCTAATTTCAACCTACTTGTGTCTTTCTGTGAAACTGGGAAACCCGATTGATTGGTTTATGCTGTCTGCTCTCCTCCTCTTTCTTAATGTTTTTACCAGAGTCATCTTTTAACCAAATGTTCATGCCTTGTTCTTTCCTCAGGATCAGGGTTTTGTGGTGGGTTACAGATTCTTTGGGTTTCTGACACCAGGGAAGAAAAAATTTTGCTCCAAAACAGCTAGTTCATATACCATAAACGCTTCAGTGGCCTTGCAGCAGATCTCTAGAGTGTTTTCCTTCTGTTAGGCCTATTGCAAGCACCCAGATATTTCACACCATTATTGTACTTTTATTTGGTGAAAAACAGATGCTGCTTGTATTTATGTGGCCCTCTGTTTTAAAATATTGTACTCCCAGCTGTTGAGGTACATATAGTATATACTCGAACTCATAAAAATGCCACAAAATCATTAACAGCATCATCTGAAGAAATAGAAATTGTGAGCATATCTTGCTTGAGCCAACATAACAGAGTGGACAGTTTAGATGTTTACAGAAATGTGTACCTCATATGACAGAAACAGAAAAGCACAGGATAGAAGTCCCTGCAAATCTAAATCTCAATTTCTTTTGCTCTGCTTCAGCTTGTGGCCGTGGGTTCTACAAATCCTCCTCACAAGATCTGCAGTGCTCCCGCTGCCCTACTCACAGCTTCTCTGACAAGGAAGGATCTTCCAGATGCGACTGTGAAGATAGCTATTATAGAGCACCTTCTGATCCACCATATGTCGCATGCACAAGTGAGTGAGTCATGAATTTAATAGTAAAGGACGTTGCTTAACCAACCAGGTGCAGCCACTTGCAGCGAGTAGTTTTGTCTGGCTTTTCCTGTGTTTGAAAAGTACATTTGCAATGGGAAAAGAAACTGAAAGGCAGAAAAAGGGTTGACAGTGAATACAGAATGAGCATAAATATAATTTTCAAGTTTGCTTGGTACAGCTTTGGAAAACATTGCATGGTGCATAAGTGCATAACTCACTGTAGTAGATATAATACAGGCCCAGTTCTCCCTAAATTGTTGCAGACAATATGCATTATGTGATATAATACCAAAATTAGTTATGTGAAAAATGAAAAGTAGCCTCTGTGGAGCTGCACTTTGATTGAACCGTAATTGGATCTGACTTAACCTTCTAACTACAAATAGATTGGCCAACACAGATTGGTGGCTCAAATAGTGGAAGTCTCCTAAATCAAAAACATCACTAAATATCTCTGTAAATCATATCAGAGCTGATAACAAAAGACTAGATGCAGCTTGTGCAGCATGTTTAGAAAAGATGAACAAATCCCATATGTAGAAAACCTGTAAAAGAGAACTATTAAGATATGTTAACTATTCCTTTTAATTACACAGAAGAGAAACAGCTAAAATTAGTTGCAGTAAATATACAGACAATTGTTATTCTGATGTCTTAATGGAAAATGAATCAAGCTCTTTCCAAATGAGTTCAAGAAAGCTTTTATGCATCCTGTACTAAAAATAATGAAATGCTTGTGTGAAGAAAAATGCTTCAAGTGTTGCCTATCTCAGTAATTAAAATGCTACCTGTGTGTCCCACTGTGGTTTTGTGTAATTACCCTGGATTTCTTTGTGTATTATGTAGGACCTCCATCTGCACCACAGAACCTAATTTTCAATATCAACCAGACTACCGTGAGTTTGGAGTGGAGTCCTCCTGCTGACAACGGGGGAAGAAGTGATGTGACCTACCGCATTCTGTGCAAGAGGTGCAGCTGGGAGCAGGGCGAGTGTGTTCCCTGTGGGAGTAACATTGGATATATGCCCCAGCAAACTGGATTAGTAGATAACTATGTCACTGTCATGGACCTGCTAGCTCACGCTAACTACACGTTTGAAGTTGAAGCTGTGAATGGGGTTTCTGACTTGAGTCGTTCCCAGAGGCTTTTTGCAGCTGTCAGTATTACCACCGGCCAAGCAGGTAAGTTTTCATCACTTATGAATCTCAACACTGTGAGACTGAGAGAAATTTGGAACATGCAAACTAGAGATGCAGTAAATCAGGAGCATGTTTAGTGTGCTCTGGCTCATTAATCTTTTCTCCTTGCCAGCTATTTAATTTGAGCTTATACTATTTCAGGATAACCTGTCCTGTTTCTTGGCCTCAGGATTGCTTTCAGAAAGCATTCACAAAAGACTTAAAGATGCACAGCTTTGTTGTTAAATAGAATTTCATAACTTAGGAACTTTTTTAATTTATTTTGTTCTTACTTCATTATAGTCAATTGAAGATTTAAAAATAGATGTGACAGTTCTATGTAGACTTCCTTTTTGAATTTTTTAAACATGTATGGGTGTCCTAGGTCACTGGAAGATTATTTGTATTTCTGATGGTGTTTTCAGTGTTAATGTTTTCCCTCAGGACAATATTTCTGATTTATCTTATATTTCCAGATATTTGATTATGAGATGCAATGAGAATGTGATGATTATTCTTTGTTTCTTCTATTTATCATAATCTGACAGGTGAAATGTCAGGGGAAATAAAGTCAAACCAGCATATCACCCCAGGGAAAAAAAAGGGCTTTAGCTGTCAGCAGCTGAATGGAAAAAAAAAAAAAAAAAGAAAGAATTGTCAGATTTAGGTTTCTGAACTGGCCAGTTGATTGTTGATAAAATTACAGACAGTAGTATGCTGTGGTCTTAAAGAGAGGATAGTAAAGCTAACCTTTTGTAATTTTAACAGTCTTAAGCCAAATATTATCTGCAAGATCTGGCTTTCAAAGGAAAATTAAATAGTATTTTTACTATTACTTTTAGTAGTAAAAGAAAATATAAAGTGAATAACTAATGTGATTCTTCCTGTAAGAACAGCTGACTAATATTTTAAAGGATACTTCATACTTATGTCTTGGAGGAAATTTTAATGGCTGTGAATCATGGTTTTTTGTTTTGGTTTTTTTTTTTTTTTTAGTGCAGTAGAAATGATCTCCTCAAGTAATGTTCTGAACTGAAAACAAACTCACCAAACAGAGTAAACAAACAAACAGGAAAAACTGTACTTATTTTGTACTTTAAAGAGAGTCATCTCAAAAAAACAAAATAAGGGACAAGAAATTTAGTTCAAAGCCTTCCTTCCTTCCTTCCCCCCAAATTTAGGATAGTTGATGTAGTTGTTAAAGTTAGGCTGGAGTGTTTTATCTCCCTATAGTGCTTTTATGGATTCCAAGTGCACGTTTTGTATTATTTTGGAGCCATCTCTGTGGCTGAAAGGATTGGTCTCTGTGTTCATTCAGTTCTTGAAGTTTATGATGAGATTTTCAGCACAGAAAACTTACCCTGAGACTATTTTTGTACCACAGATGATATTATTTTGGCACCTTGATTTTTCATCCTCAGAATAATTCTCCAAACATGCACAGGTGCACACTGTTCTGCTCTCTGTAGATGACTGTACAGAACTATCACATGAGGAAGGGGATTTGGACTTTTTCCTATTTGGCTGAATCAAATTGGCTTTACTTTATGTGCTTTGATGGTTCAGTGGCACACAGGGTAAAGGAAGAACCAGTGCAATTTACTGGCTAGTATCACATCTCAAGAAGATGAAAAAAGCGTTTATCAGAAGTTTGTTGTATTTTCTCCAAGATAGCTCATTATTGCTCATGATTTTGTGTTGTCATAGTCATGGATTTACAGGGCTTTTATTAGGCCAGAAGGTATAATATGGTTATGCTGTACTATCTTACACGTAACACAAGCTATGTGATTATATTAAATGATCCTCACATCAAGCCCAGAGATGTTAGTGAAACTATAGCTTGCATATGTATTAGAGGCAGCATCTAGACTTTACTAAAGATTTAAAGTAATTAAAAATCTTCAGCCTCCTAGACAAGCTTTGTAAGACCATGAAGCAGGAGATCTGACTCTGTTCCTTCCCTACTTTCTAGTTTCCTGTGGGATTACGCACACACCAGCATTTCCCAGGATTTGACACTGTTTAGAGAAAGGGTATGACTGAAGCTTTGCCTGTTTAGCACTTATGAATATAAAGATTTAAAGGCTTCCAACTTGGCATCTAAAAGGAATATACGTGAGGGACAGATTTTGGAAGAAAAAAAAAATGGTTTAAAGCACTTTTTGTTGCAGTTTTCTCTGTAAAATGAAGGTAACCTTCAATTTTCCTTACCAAGCTTCTCAAGATTTTCTGATTAGAAGTGTCACATAAATGCAGCTTTTTTTTTTCCCCCAGAATTACAAAATTTGTGTTAAAGAAAATACAGATGTTCAGAACAAATGCATTTAGCAAAAGGAAAGACCTCTTCTATATTATTTTTGCAACAGCATGTTTTGGATCCTAATACTGATTTCTTTGGTTTCTCAAGGAGGAAAATATTTTAGGTGGAACAGATTGATGACTATAATTGAACAGAAAGAGACTGGTTGCTCAAAGGAAACTGTTATGCTTCTGTGTTTCTCTTTTATTTTACTATAGAGAGAAAGAAAATGTTGGATTTATTTATAGCCAAGTAAACTAGGATTCATGCAGCTCTCATTTGTTCCTGTGTGACTGTTCTATACTTCTGGAAAAAACTGACTTTTTTTCTGTGCCCATATTGCTTTTTATGTGTGTAAATGTGTCTAACTAAACCTTCTTCACATGTTATTATGCTAACACAATAGGTGGCTATATATAATTACTGGGTTCACCAGTTGCACAGAGGATTGCAATGAGATTTTCCCTTTGTAGTTTTGGTTTAATTGAATTGCTCCTTTGTGGTCATAGTCCCAAAATTCAAATCATTGTGTAATGATAACAGGAAATTATTGATAAAAGAATGGGGTTATAGAATACTTTGTGTTTGTTCTCCCACATGTAACAAGCTTCTGATGAGACAAAGAGAGCATGCCACATAAAAGAGCCAGGTGGCAGATAAAAACCTATTTATATTTGTGGAAAAACACAATAAAATGACTGCAAGTGCGTAGGTATCATTTCACATCACTTATATATATATTTATATATATATACACGTATGACACATTGCTGTTCATTCCTTGTTTTAAAAAGACTTTGTGACTAGGCTATCAGTTGTCACGTGGCATATTTTTATGCTTCAGCCAAGAACCATGAGGCTTTTGGTTTTGCTTTGTTTTCTTTTTTTTTGACAAGATTAAGTACACAAAGTCCTCCTTTACAAAGGAGTAAACCATCTTGTTTCATATCTTGCCTATCCAGCATCATATAAAGAATACAGGATGTTATCCCAGTACTGCAAGCTGATCTATGAAAACCCTTGCATCCTTGTAGAATTCAGATTTGAAAGTGGCTAACTAAGCTCTAGTTACAATAAACAAATGTACTAAAGAGCTGCACCTGGCGAACAGCTGACAAGGACTACCTTTGCAATAATGGGTTTTTACCAAAGATAAAATTGACCAGTTCCTTGATAAGATATTCCCCTTTCATCTGTACTGGTAGTTCCTTTGTATCCATCAAATTTTTGGATCCTTCCCAAATTTTACATTTTTTTCCATGCAACACCCAGAAGGTGAATGGAAATTGGGTAGGTTTTACTGCAGATGAATATTTGTTGCACTTTGGCATTCATGCATTTTCATTTTACAAAATATGCATCAATAACAATTTTGTAATTTTTCTGTTGACATTTTTGCAAAGATAGTGTGTTTTTAAAACTGTCTTTCTGCATCCTTTCCTCTAGGGTTTTTCTGAATGAACAAACGACTCATCTCTGGTAAAGGGTTATAAACACACAACCTACCCTGGCCTTGAAAAAACTTAGGATATTTTGAATGAATACCAAAATTTATCAGGGTTTGAGAAAATTTAAGTGTGTGTGCTGAGCCAGTTTAAGTTGTCTTTATAGTCATTGAAAAGAAAAAGTCACATCCAATGGGACACTCATCATGCCTTATTACCGTAACTAACTAGGACAAACAGAAGTAAAAATGTAATGCTCGTAACTGCCCCTAAATATACTTATTGCTCTTGTGCAGGGAACACTTGCTAATGCTTGCTGCTTCTTCACAGGAAGCGACAGGTGCCCCATAGCCTTCTTAGGTCCTGCTGTGCCTTCAGATATACTTTATGCTGACAACTTCAAGTTGTTAAAAAACCCTGATTCAGTTCCATTATAAAGGCTTACTCTTGAAAAACATTGGTTTTTAGTAACAATTTCCTTTGTTTATGTTTATTTGCTACTATTCCATTTTTACATCTTAAAGCTCAATTTTAAGACCTTTTCCTACAAAGAAAGATCCCAAATTTCACAGTTCAAAAAAAAAAAAAAAGGAAACCAAATTTGTCAAATTGGCATTAACCCAGCAACTTGAACTGAAAAAAAAAAAAAACCATTGCATGCTTTAAAATCATGACTATTAGCAGCAGCACTCTTGATTTACATGACAAGAAGAAATGGCTGAATGCATAAATGCAAATCTGTGGGATGGGTTCTACCTTTCTTAGATAATCCTGAAGTCTTTCTAAAATGACAGAGACACTTCACTTTCTCTCATGTTACATTCTCCTTTCATTCTTGCTGCTTATAATTTTTCTTTTCTTTGTTTCTTTACTCTTTTTCCCCAGATCTAAATTATCCCTACTCATTTTTTAAGTCTCTTCTTTCATAGCCTCTGCACTACTGATCATCTATTTGTTTCCTGTTCTTGTCAGTCTCACTTAAGCCTGACTTTTCTTCAGCGGTGAACTGTCGCCCAGCAGAGGCAGCAATCAAGAAGATTGATGCCTGCAGCTTTCCCAGTCACTGTGACCTCAGTGTTCTAGTCCTGTTCTCACTTCCCTCCTTTCCCCAGGCCGTTTTGGTTTCTTCCCATAGTGCCACCAAGATGTTTTAATCTACCTTCATCTACATCTTCCATCCAATGTTCACTTCTCGTGCTACATGACAGCTTATTACAAATAGCTTCAGTGTTCAACTTAACATTTCTTCAATGTTT